TGCTCTGTCTCTGCCTTTACTTTCTCACCTGTAAAGTGGGACTTGTGTTGTCTTGTGGACTCCAATATGGACACAATGCATCTGGCATATGATCTTGTTGGTGTGGGCCCAGCACTGGGCACATGCGGGCACGGTTAGTGCCAGTGACCTTGGTTTGGAATCCAGACCCACAGTGAGCACCAAGCAGCAGCAGAGCCTGGAGGAGAGGGGTAAGTTTGAGCTTCTCCAGGAGAGGCACCCCCACCTGCCTGAGGTCAGGGGAGCTGGTCCCATTGCAGTGCTGGCTCCAGGCTGCAGGAGACCCATGGCCGGCAACATGCTGCCTGTGGACCCTGCCCAATGTGTGCTTTGGCCTCAGTGTGTGTGTCCTGTCTTCCAGCTCTGGACAAAAACTGCAGACAACCTGGAGCTCGCCCTCTTGTCTCACCTCATGGATATCCTCCAGTCACCAAGGTAGGGGAGTGCCAGCAGCCCTGGGTTAGTTCTAAGTCTTCCTGCCAGGAATAAGGCCTGAGAGGACAGGACAACTGAAGCTCAGTGACTATGGCCTCCTCCCTGTGTCCAGTGGGTGAGCGGGTGGGAGCTGTCCTCCTAGATGGTCGTGCACATGGTCCAGGTCTCTCTCTTCTGATGGCCTTGGGCTCAGGAGCCGGGGACTTAGAAGCCTCTGTAGCCCTGGGGACCAGCACCAAATCTGGGTTCTGCCAGTGTGGCCAGCAGAGGAAAACTCATCCTGGTTCCCAGCCCACTTCCCCCAACAGAATTCTCCAAGCCACTTCTAGTTGCTCAGGGCTCTTTTGGTTGCAAGCAGCAGAAATAGAACCCAAAGCAGCTTGAGGTAGGAGAAAGAGGAAGAAGGATGGGAAGGAGGAAGGAAAGAGGAAGAGAAGGGAAAGGGGACAGTTGAAGAAGGAATTCATGGCTCCTACAAGAGAAAGAGGCAGCTGTCCCCTCCCAGGCCTTTTGCCCACATGACTGTGCCTAAGCTGTGTCCCTCTGTCCCTCAGGACTGCATCATTTCTGCAGATCTCTTCCATGGTTACCAGGTGGCTGCTGGGCAGCTTCTCTGAATAGCTCCAAAGCTTATCGGGGTTGTCAGAGGCAGGACTGCTTCTTTACTCGATAGTGCTGGAAATAGGGTTGAGTCTCTTTGGGACAACTTGGACCCTGTGGCTGGGCCAGCAGGCTGGCTTCTCTGCAGTGGATGGAAAGGGAGAGTAAGAGGGAGGCCTAAGGTCCCACCTCCTCACCTTCTCAGGCTGTTCCCATGGCCATTAGTATCCTTGGCATTTGGGATACATTTGTAAACCTCTCTCCGTGCAGACTCTTACTGTGGAAGCTTGTCATAAACCCACCACATTTCCCACCTCATTTTTAGTGCTGGAAATTCAGAGAAGCACACACTTGTTCAGGCAGCTTCTCTGGCACAGGACGGGGCTGCTTCTTCCTCCTTTGGGTATCAGAGATGTGCAGCTCAGAAGAATTCAGTGTGTTCATGGCAAAGAGCTGCTTCTGAAGGGGCAATCCTCCCACCCAAATTTCTCTCCTCTTCTGCCCACCCCGCTCCCCTTTTACTTTTTCCACCTGAAATTGTTGTTTTCTAAGAAACAGACATTTACCCTGGGAGCTGCTTTCTTTGAGGGAGTAGAACTTACTGGAAACTGGCTTTGTGGTTATCCCAAGGAGGGATACTGGAGTCTACTTTGTGGCTTGGGCAGGTAGGAAGATGGCAGGCACACCCAGACAGGCCCTTGCTTCTGCGTGGGGACTGGCTCCGGGTCACATGAGTGTCTGCTGTCTTGATTCTGAGTTTTCTGAGGCTGGCACTCATTTTCCTCGGGGCTCGGGATTTAAAAGTCAATAATTGGGGTTTGTCTTTGAAGGCGGTTTCCGGAGGATGGAGGGCTGGGGGTTGTGTCCTGGTGACTCAGGCACTTGGCAGACGCATATTCAATGGGTGTCTGACGGCATCTTGACAAGGTGCCAAGAGAGCACTGGAGTCAGGAACAAGTCTAGTGTTGAAAAGCTTTTTAGCAGAAACATAGTGAATTCGGCTCATTCCAGTAAAAGCTTTTATTGTCTCTCTCCTGGGCTTGCAGGGAAGGAGCAAGGAATGCCGAGGTCGCCCACCAAGCCCAGCTCATCCCCAAGCTTGTCTTCCTCTTCAACAACCCCAGACTTGCTCCCGCCAAGGTCCCCATTATCATTGGCATCCTGGGCTGCCAGTTGAAGGGTCACTTCAGCATCCAGGACCTACTGAGGTACCTCACCAAGCTGCCTGGACTATTACAGAGGGACATGCACCAGCCGTGTCCTTGCTGTGCTCAGCCCAGTGACAGCACTAGGATCCTGCCAGGGCAGCGTCTGTTGAGTGCTGAGAGTTGGAAGAAGAGATGGGCGTGGGGTGAGAGGTGGTTCCCCATCTGGGGTCTACTGACTTTGATGCTCATACCCCCCCCAAGGCTCCCTATGAGTGTGGCCGTCCCCACAGCAGTGGTGGTGCCTGCATTAGCCCAGAGCACGTGCCAGCTAGCCCCACCCTCTGCCTCACCCTCCTCATATGCTGATCTGCAAATGCCAGAGGTCACGTTGATGAATCTCAACAGATTTTAGAAGTTTCTGGAAGTACTGTCTGTGTGGACCATAGGATAACATGATTTCCCCTGTCCTTCTCTCCTGCTGTGTACAGGATCGGGCTCTTTGTTGTATACACTCTCAAGCCTTCCTCAGTGGAAGAGACTCAGGTCTGTGTGGATGGAGCCCCGGCCTCCTCAGTGCCTGGTGAGAAGATCTTGCCCAAATGCCCGGGGCTGAGGGAGACAGGGAAGCCACCTGCAGCTGAGCAGTTTTATGATCAGGGTCACATATAGAACATATGCCCTAGAACATCAGCTGGTTTCTGAGGCTTGGGGGATACTCAGTTCCCTGAGACAGCACCTGGGCCTTGGTGGTGCCTTATGGGTGGACCCCCGCTCCCCAGAACCCCTGGATGCAGATGCCTGAGCTCCTGAGGTCCCAGTGCACAAGGATGCAGCCTCCATGTCTGGTTTGCCCATACTGATCTCCAGAAATGCCACCCTTGTCTGCCCCATTCCTGCCTCCTCCTGTAGACCAGGGTTTTCAGCCCTGCTATGCTATATTGTGCTGTTCTTTTTGCTTCCGAGGCTCCTGGGGCTTTGTGTAATGCACAGCCTGGGGTTGGTTTCCTTGGGCAGATCTCTCTCCTTAGCTAGGTGCAGAAACGGAAGCTCTGCCTTGTTTGGTGTCCCTGCTGCTTGGGTGGTGCGAGGGGAACATTGCGCCCACTGCATCCAGGCCCTCTAGGCCGGTGCTGCTCAAGATCAGAGCCTCTTGCCACATGTGGCCATTTACATTTACAATTTAATTAGTGAAACTTAAATGGAGTTGAAAATTCAGTTCCTCAGCCTAGCCATATTCCAAGAGTCCAGGGAAGCACAAGAGGCTGGTGACTATGGTATTGGACAGAGCAGGTGCCAGCCAGTCCCATGGACACAGGAGACCCTCTGGAACAGCATTACTCAACGTGTACAAATTATGTTACCCCATGATCTCAGATCAAGGCCCAAGAGTGAGACTTCTGTTCCCATCTTAGACCTGAAGGGAAGTGAGGCTCAGTGGGATTAGTATCTTAGAGATTAGGCCGACTCTCTGAGCAGCCTCCTCCGTGCTCTCACTGCAGCAGGGTGCTGCAACGCAAACTGCTCCCAAGATGCCTGGCAAGTGAGGGGATGGATGACAGGTAATGGCCCAGAGTGAGCTCCTTTACACAACCTTTGAGTTTTCGAATATGGACTTCACTCTGAAACTTCTAACGAGTCATAGTAAAGCAGTGTTATGATATCTCCTAGGGCTTCAGTGATATTTGGGAAATCATGTTTCTTCTCAAGCCCTCTGCTCTGGCTTCTCTTTTATTTTCAGGGCAAAGTAAACAAGAAACATAGAAGCCTTGTCTGGAAGAGGATTGAAAGCAGGAAGCCAGGGAACACAGAGCCCCAATTTACCACCCAACTCCCAATGCCACCCATAAAACCAGCACACGCTAGGTGCTCTGGAAATGCTGCAGCCTATGATAACCTACAAAGATTCTGCTGAAAGATAGATTTGCCTTTATCATTTTTGTTTGTTTGTTTTCAGAGATAGGTAACACTGAAGACATTTCTAGGTAAAGGGAACTTCAGCAGCATTTCCTGAAATTCTTTTTTAAGTATTGCATTGTAATCTAGAATCGAGTGCCAAAACTTTAAGTCTCATCCATGCCCCAATTCCTGGGTAAACTAAGCGTTTGATGAATATGATGGCTCACTGCAGTGAATGTTATGTCTCTTTACATCCGTTTTCTCTCAAATCTGAATTTTCTGTTTTATAGCTGGAAGCCAAACATCTGCAAAGACAATCAAGCTCAGAAACCAGTTGCTGGAGATGCTACTCGGTGCAATGTCTTCCCCTCAGATCCATCTGTCCTCTGAGTGAGTAGCTCTGGGAAGAGTGATTTGGCACAAGATCGCCTCCTACAGGGTGCGGTATTAAAACCTTCTCTTAATGAAAAGTTTAGCATTTCTGAGTCTGTTTTCTGTGATGTGTTTCCTACATGAGGCAGAACAAAAATTGTATTTTCTCCACCCAATAAACCAGACCTTGCCCTGAGATATTTGGATGCAAATGTTCAATAGGCAAGAGTAATGGGAAACAGATTCAATGTCATTTCAATCAACTCCTTTGTCACCATTGCCATCATGTAATTGTTATGGTTTTGGCAGTTATGACGATCACTGACTTTGATGTCCTGTACTTGGCAGAGAGCAGAATGGAGAAATGGTTAGCCCAAGTAACATCCATCAAGGGAAAGCCTTGCCAAATTCTTCTGCTATTTACTCTTAGTGCTTTAGTTATTTTTCCAACTTGGAAAAAAGTGGCATCTGCCTTCCGTTAACTTCCAAAGTAATGTGTAATCATAAAGTTGATTCCATTAACTCTTCCCATTGCCTGCTTGCAACCCTGGAGTCATTTATTCAGCACCTATTTGTTGAGCACCTACTGTGTACCAGGCACTGTTCCTGGCTCCTAGGATGCAACCATGAGCACATCAGTACAATTCCTCGGCCTCTCAGAGTTTACAGTTGGTGTGTTTGTGTGTGTTTTGAGTGAGGGGAGAAGATCACCCCTCAGCGAAGCAACCTGCAAATCGTGGTTGCAAATTTGCCAGTCTGTAAGTCTTTACATGCTTAGAATTGAAGCATGTTGACACTGGAAGATGTCTTGGAGATCAGCTAGTGTGGCCCTATTCTTTTTCATCTTTTAAAAAGAGAATGTAGTATAGTGCTTAAGCACTTGGATACTGGCATCGGGACCTTCTGGCCTGGACCCCAGCTCTACCCCCAGGGAGTCAGGAAGGCTAGGCAAGCTCTGTGTGCCTCTATCGACTTGTTTGTGTGAAATTAAAAATAATACCTTCCATAGACATCTGTGGTGAGGATGAAATAAATTAATATGTAGATAGACCTGAGAGTGAAACTGTAACACTCTAAACTGCTGTCATTACCAGTGTCACCATCATCACTCTCACTATCATCACCGTCACCACCATCATTACACCGTCTTCATCGTCACCATCATCTTCACCATCATTACCACATATCACCATTACTACGACCATTATCATGACCATCATCATGACTACCATCTTCCCCATCACCACCACCGTCAGCAACATCCACATCACATCATCACTATTATCACCGTCATCACCACCACCATCACCATCGTTACCATTACAGTCATGAGCATCATTCATCACCATCATCCTTATAACATCATCATCCCCATCATCACCACAATCATCACTGGGTCAAATGACCAGAGCACATCAAGAGTTCTGCCAAAGTCATCTAGTCTGTGAACATCACAGGCCTAGGAAGGAGCACAGTTTTTTGGCCCCTAGTCCACTACTCATTCCAGGGGACACCAGCCCCAACCCCACCTTGCCTAGTCTGTCAGCTGAAGCTGAGACCACTGCTCTGTGTAGATGTCTCTTTCCTGACGCCCGAGGCTTAGTCTTGTGCTCAGTCACTGTCCTTGCTGCCCACCTCCCTGCCCTCCTGTTCCTTTCGGTTCCCATCAGCAAGTCTGTATTCTCAAGACTCATCATTTTAAAATTAATTTTTGAAAGTGGTAGTCATGGCCTTTCTTTGCCTAAACTGATAAAAATGTGTAAATATTGGACAATTCCACTTAGATTGGTTTTGACTAATATCTTTAAAAGGAGATAAACAAGCATTGTGTTTTATGACTAGATCAGTGATAATTATATTAGACACGTAGCTGTTCCTGTACTGTGTACATATGAATAGTGGTAAAGTTGGAAAATTAAGGAGCATGCATGATTTTACCTATTTCATACAGAGTTTCCAGTTGCTTTGCAAAGCTTTGACCAACTTATATTGCAGCAGCTAATGAACAAATTTATCCACTGTGCAGCAATTCTGCCATCATTTTACTCTGCATTCTTTCAAAATGTGCTGGTATGTGCTTCACTAAGTCATAATCAAATGCCAACCTTCACTGAGTTTCCTAAAGGACTCGTGAGGCCAGGCAGTGTCACTTCTGGATGTGGCCCTTGGTCATAGCCTGAAAGATAATGGACTGCATTTATCCACCCCCAGGTCAAAGGAGGAGATGTTTCTGAGCCTGGGTCCTGACTGGTTCCTGCTGCTCCTGCAGGGCCACCTACATCCCAGCACCACCGTGCTGGCCTTGAAATTGCTGCTGCACTTCCTGTCCAGCCCCTCCCTCCGTGCCCAATTCAAGGATGGCCTGTCTGTGGGCTCCTGGGTGGAGCGAAGTGCCGAGGGTGTGACCATCATAATGGGTAAGTATGGGTACCTCCTGGTCCTGGGGTATGAGTGACACTGCAGAACCTGTGCCACTCCCTGCAGCAGGATCGCCTGAACCCTTCACCCAGGGAGGCCCCATATCAGCCCCTGCCCCAAGACTGCTGGGCAGCATCTTCCTGCCTCAATGCTCTGCAGCCCCTGGATGCTGCTCCCCAGCACTCCCAGGGTCCTCATCTGGTCACACACCTGGCAAGGGCAAGCACTTCCCATTTGGCTTCTGCTGCCTGTGTGCCTCTTTTGGCCCATAGGGTTCATCCTTCAGGTGGGTCTCAGTTCTTCCAGGAGAGGAGGGTCCTGACTGAGTCAGGGAACCTCTGTCAATCCTCCCTGCCCCTCTTCCTGTCCTCTGCAGTGCTCCTTACTTTCTCCTAGTGTTTGTGTTTTATTACTTATTGTCCATCCCTTCCACCACTCTCTACACTTCTGTATCCAAGTTGCCTAATAAAAAGTGCCTGGTTACTTCCTAGCTGGTTGGCATTTAGTAAGTATCTGTCTTTGAATGGATGAATCAATGAATGGTTGACTGATGGAATGGGTGAGTGAATGAATTAATAAATAGATGGATGAATGCATAAATGAATGGGTAGATAGATGAGTGAATTAATAAATGGATGGATACATGAATTAATGGATGGATGAATGAATGAATGAGGCTATCAGGAATAGGAAAACGAGTTATAGCCAAGTGCTTTCTTCTCCTCAACTTTGTGAAAGTGTATTTCAATCTCGTGTCTCTAAGGGAGGGATAGGTGGCAGAGACCCCTGGTGTGTCCACCCCTACCTTGACCAGAAGTGGTTGTTCTCAGCTCCATTTCATGCCTCCTCTTCAACCCACAGACAACCTGAAGAGCCCCGAAGCTGTGCCCGAGCACAGCCACTGCCTGCTTCCTGGCTTCCGCGTCTTGACTGACTTCCTGAGCCACCGCGTTCACATCCCGGAAATCTACTTCATAGTGTCCACCTTCTTCCTGCAGACACCACTGACAGAGCTGAAGGATGGGCCCAAGGTGGGACCTAGGACCACCCTGGGGCCGAAGGACATCTGGCTTTCTGATTCCACAGGACTGAGGCAGCTCCCTGAGATGCTATGCTCACCGCTTGCTGCTCCTTCGGGCTGCAAATGTCAGACTCACTCTTTTCCCTTGTGGCCCACACCCCAAGTAGCTCTCAGACAGCCTCCCCTTAGTCTATGACCCTCTTAGCCTCAGCCACTATCTCACCTGGTAAGTCTGGTTTGGATTAGTCTCGAGTTAAAGTTTTTCTTTTCCTGGACACAGCTGAGAAATGAGGTATTGGTGAGGCATCTGCTTCCCGCCGCTTACTTTCCCTGCTACCCTCCTCAGCACCCTGTCACCATGGGCACGGGAAAGGCAGGCTTTCCAGGCTGCTCTGGGACTCCCCACCTTCCTCAAGCCATCCTTGTCCTCTCTCTTCACTGTCTTTCCAGTGTCTCCCTTTCTACTGACTCATCCTTTTAGACACAGCTGTGTTAAACTCTGTCCCACTGGAAACCAGAGGCTGACCCTGGGCTCAGACTCTGGACCAAATGATGTCCATTTACCACATTCCTTGCCTTCCTGGAAAATGATCCAAGAGGAGTCCACACTCACTGGGCACAGGATCCCACCCTCCTTTCGACGTTCATCTACACCCACCTCACCCTCCACACCCTCATGCTCCAAGTCCAAGTCTTGTTGGCTGCCATTCCTGCAAGGCTGGGTTTATACTCCGGATGGAGCACCAAAGTCCCTTGTGTTTGGGTCCCTGATTGTCTCTAACTTGCCCTCCCTGCTGTCCCTACCCTGGGTCATTTTTCCAAGAAGACCAGCTGCTCTGTGCTCACCTACCTGTTCCCCTTACTGATTCCTTTCTCCATTGTCACCTGCCTGCCAGGAGTGTCCTTCCCCAGACTCAGGTCCTCAGATCCTCTTCCACAGTTTCTAGACCCTTCCTCCTCTGTGACTCAGTGTATCTTTGTGTTGTATGGCACCAGCATATGTACTTGGTGCCTGTCTCTGTGAATACTGAGCATCTGTAGGACAGAGCCCACCTTTTACTGGCCTCCCTGGGCACCTGACACAAAGCAGGCTTGGAAATCGTTTCTTGGTCTTAATTTTGTTGAGTGAAACTGAACTGAATTAAAATAAGGCAAGGGCATGAATGTGTAGAGAAAGCTCAAGCATTTGCCTCTCTTGTATACCCTTACATTTGGTAGATCTATGTCTTGATATATATTGAAAGTACAGTATCACAGATCATACTTCAGAGTTCTGAATATACTATGCTAAATTCATGGACACCTGGACTTTTATTTCTCTAAGAATATATTGTAGGAAACAAACATCTGCCAAGTGTCAGGACCTATGATAGATGCTTTACATATTTTATTCCGCTTGATATTTAAACAATCCCTTGAGGTGGATAATGGGATTTTTTTCTCATAGGGAAGGAAACTGAGCTGCCAGGAGGCTGGGCAGACCCCACCCTCCATGCCCTTGTTCAGAGTCCCAATTCCAAATCCTTGCTCTTCTGACTACACCACACTTCCCCTCAATGTTTGGATTCTTCCTGGGTCTTCTATAACCTCATTTATAAAAGGTCATTGGCATTCTTTAGGACATTGAGTGCTTGTGAGATCAGATCAAAAGAACAAAACTTCTTTTAAAAACGTTGTGCTTATTTATTGATTGATGCTGTGGATAGGACCCAGGCCCTTTCATGTGCCGGGCAAGCCAAGTTCTGAGCCCAAGGGAACCCACCTGTCTTGGGGCAGGTCATGAGTGGGTCTTCACTTCCTATAGTGGCATTGCCTCCATCATGGACGCCCTCTGGGCTGAAAGTTTCCAGGTGGCCATGCACTGTGGCTGCTGCAGTGCTGTGGTACTTTGCTCTTAGAGGTGCCTCAGAACAGGCAGTACATGGGCCACAGAGCTGGTGCCCTGATCATGTGCCCTAGGTCTCCTCATAGCCCTCCCTCCTCCTGCAGGACAGCCTGGATGCCATGCTGCAGTGGCTCCTGCAGAAGCACCACCAGCAAGAAGTGCTCCGGGCCGGGCTGTGCACAGAAGGTGCCCTGCTGCTCCTGGAAATGCTGAGAGCCACCATGAGCCAGGTGAGATGCATTTCCCACAAGCCACCCTCTGATGGGAGGCAAGTGGGGAGGTCTCAACCCAGTAGCTTCCCAGGAATGCTGATGTCTTAGTCCTCTCTCTCTGGCTGCCACCAAATGCCCAAGACCAGGTAATTTATAAAGATAGGGGTTTGTTTAGCTCATAGTCTGGAGGCCACACTCCTGAGGGATATGGCGAGGCTGTCTTGATGAGCCAAAGCAGAGTAGGGGCATCACGAGTGGAGACAGCAAGCTTGCTGGTTTGGATCTTGCTTCCTTGTCTAAAGACATCAGTGCCATCATGTGGCCACCCTTGGGACATCTCATCCTAATCACCCCTAGTGGCCCCTCCTCCAGATACCATGAGCATAGGAGTTAGGGGATTAAGCTTGTAGCACATGAACTTTCAGGGAACATGTTCACGGCACAGCAGGTGGTAATTAGTGAAATGAAATGGAAGAGGTGAATAGGCTCCCAGGGGTGACTTGAGTGCAACAGGAAGCCCATCCTAAAAGAGCCCAAGAAGCTCTGTGCACCCTGGCTGGGAGATGCATTTTACGAAAGCAATAGCTTCCCTACACAAATAAGCACCTGATGGCCCTCCACATCTGCAGATCACAGTGTATCCTGACAGAGGTGGAGGCCACAAAACTATTTTTGCATTTATTTTCTCAATATGTTGTAAATGTCTTTCCAGGTCAGTAGAGTGGGAAACTATAGGCATTTTCTGTATTTGTAGTAGAAGTTTATGTTGATTTTCAGAGTGTTATTATAAAAAGTCTATGATGAACTTTCTTGAACAAACATGTTTTCCTTGATGGACTCCCTCGTGTCAACTCTGGGATGTGGGCAGCAGGTCACAGTGAACACTTCATGCATTTTTGGATGCACTTCTCAGGAAGATTGCGTTAAACATCGCACATGTACCTGACACATCTCACTGTCCTGTGTCTGTCTGTGTCTTGTGCCGAAGTGTACAGCCCCATTCTCAGCCCGCAGCAGCCTCACAGCCTAGGGAATGATTGTTTCATGGTCGAGTTATTTTTGCATCTATTATTACTCTGTTTTTTAAAAACAATTTTTCAGGTGCTCGTTAACTATATATTTTACTGTGAGATGCTTGTTTATGTCATTTGCCAATTTCTATGTGTATGTGTTTGTGTGTGGTTATGTGGAGAAGATATAGATCACACTTTTGCCCTTTTTAAAGATACGATTTTTTTCACTTTTATTCAGTAGTCCCTTAGCATATAAGCAGGCAATTGTGTGCTTTTTTCCTTCTAACCAGGTCTCTATGGTGAGTTATACTGATAGACTTGTAGTATTCTTACAAAGATCTTATTTAGTCTCCCCGTTTTTACTTTGTTAAGAATACTTCCTTATTTTGTTCGTAAATATTTATTTATGATTTTATATGCATCTTTGTAAATTATATTGGGCTGCAGTTTTCTTTTTTGTTATATCTTTATCGGTTTTTGATGTTGGTCTTTTGCTAGTTTTATATAGAAAGGGACTAATCTGCTTTATAGTCAGGAATGTATTAAATCCACAATTCTTAGGTCATTTAAATGGTTTCTATAAGGCTGCTTACACTTAAATTTTTTCCATGATTATTGACTTTTTAAAGCCTTTAAATGTCTTCTTGACCCAGTTTAGTTAATTGGTGTTTAGACATACTTTCCCATTTATTCAGTGTGCACAAATAGTCTTGTGTTAATTACTTTCCATTACATGATCAGTTGGCCTGTTGCTTAGGACTCGTAGCGACTCATCATAGCAAGAATGTGCAACACAGCAAGACTTCTCACTTCACTGCCAGGATTGCAAAAAAAGGAGAGGAAGAAGCCAGGGTTCTACCATCTCCTTTGAGGTCATGCCTCCAAAGACCTAAAGACCTCCCACTAGGCCCCACCTCTTAAAGGTTCTACTACTTCCCAACAGTGCCAAGCTGAGGACCAAGTCTTTGACACGTGGACCTTGGGAACATCCCAAACCTAAACTATGGCAGGCCTCTTCTAATTCATTTAATTTGCTATGTTATTTCTCCCTTCTTGCTCTTAGTTTGGGAGTTCACATCCTTTTTTTTATCACACCACTCCTGCTACTTAGGAGCTGATAGCTTGTGGATTTATTTAAAGAATCAGATCTTGGGTATATTTACCAGTTTCTTTTTTTCTGTCAGCTTCTAAGATTTTTATATTTACCATCTTCATTTTTGATTGTTTTCTAGAAGTTCTGTGATTATAATTGCAAAGATCACTTTGATTTCTATTTTTCAAAGTCTGGGTTTTTTTAATTTCAATTTTTTATCTATTTCTAGTTTGTTTCTACCCTGGTCAGATTATATAAGCAGTACATTTTTCATCTTTGAGATATTAATATGCAATTAATTTGGGGGTACCTGAAAAGATGTATATTTTCTGTTTACATTATAAGGAACCTGCTACCCTACTTATTCAATTAAGGTTATTGAAAATAAAGCAAACGAAAGGGACAACAAAATATCACTAACAACATAGAAAATGTGTGTCATGCTGATAGTAGTATAAGTGTGAACCCAAACATTTACACTATAACAGCAAACATCAGAAGGTTAAGCTCACATATTAAACACGTGACTTTTAGACGAGGTAAAGAAAAGGGTCCAGGCTCATTGTACATGTTAGATTAACAGATAGGTACTGAGAATGAAGCTTCTCAGTGATTGATTTGGTACAGATGCCTGTAGTGAGAGCATCGTTTACCAAATACAGTAGACAAGCATCTAACTCTGAAAGACAGAAAATAGAAGAATAGTGGAAACAGGCTGCAAACTTAATTGTAAAAATAGCCCTAATATATCTTTTCCAAACAGTTTCATTTATTTCCTTTTTCCTTCGCAGTTTATTTTGTTTGACATCCATCCTTGCTCAATGGTAACCATAGATGAGGCTACCTGTTCCTGACCTTGATACAAACAGAACCATACAGTACATACTCTTTAGCATCTGGCTTCTTTTGCTTGTCACTGTGTTGTGAGATTCACTCTTATTGTTCTGGATGTTAGTAGTTCAGTTTTTTCTCTGCAGAGTGGTATTTTCTTGTCATAATTAATCACAATCCATTCCGGGTTGTTTCAGTTTGGAAGTATCAGGAATAAAGCTTCCATATACCTATCTTTTTATGGACATTTCCCTTTCTGTGGAAATGTCCCCAGGAGTGGAATTGTGGGTAATTAGCTGTACACATGACAAATAATTCTCCAAAGTGGAAGGACCAATTTACATTCTCACCAGCTTTCATTTTGGGAGGGTTCTTGCTGTTCCACACCCTTGCCAATATTTTGCATTGTTAGTTATCATTTTAATATTAGACTTTCTACTGCATGTGATAATCCACTGGAAGAGACAGCATTTCCTCCATTATAGAGATGTAGAATCCATCCAAACAAGGTCACAGACCACAGGCACAGGGGTCACACGTGTGCCTAGCATTTTGTGGCCATGTCTTGACCTTCAGGGGTCCCTGTGGATTGGTTGATCAAATCCAAATTCCTCTTCCAAAAGTCCAAGCCCTCTGTCTGTAACCTCATCTTGCAGCTGCTTCTGTTTTCACCCTGTGCTAGTCACTGTGGAAATAAGTCGCATTGCTAAAATGTGTCATTTGATCCACATAGCAACCTTCTGAAATAGGTCACATCAGCATCTTTGCTCAATAGAGCTGGAGCCAGAGGCATTGTAATAAGGAGCTGGTCCATCTGGGCATGGTGGTGCACATCTGTAATCCCAGTGCTCTGGGAGGCCGAGCCAGGAGAATCCAAGTGCAAGTCTAGTTTGGGCAATTTAGCAACTTAGCAAGATCTGTCTCAAAATAAAAAAGGGCTGGGGATGTAGCTCAATGCAAGAGCCCTGGGCTCAATCCCTAGGAGCCCCCTACCCTCAGAAAAGGAGCTGATTCAAGCCAGGCTGTATTAAGTGACAGAGGCTGGATTCCATCCAGGCTGATGAACTCCCAAGATAACTCTGCCTTCCTCTTGTGCACACTCCCTGAAAATCTAATATTGTGCTGGAGGGCCTGGGGGGCCCAGATGCAGGTGGCTTCAGAAATGTTTCCTCCACCTGCTCTCACCCAGACCAAACCCTTGCCAGGTTCCAGAACTGCAGTTGCGTGTGTCTTGCCTTCCTTTCTGCAATTAGGTTTGAGTTTCCCCGTGTGAGCCAAGTGGCCAAGAGCTATGAGAGACGTCACAGTGTGAGGCACACTAATGGTCAGGCAGGGTAGTGGGACCAGCACAGGACACAACCCATCCCAGACCCTACCGGCAAGGGAAAGGGTGTGCCCGGGCATTGGCCAGGGGTGGTTTGCAAAGGGTGGGGAAGGAAGTGACCTCTGGTGGGCACTCCCCTTGGGCTCAGCACTCATGATATGTCAAATTGCGTAGGGGAATGATGGTTCACCAGTGTCAGTCTCTTGCTCTGATCCTCACCACGGGGTGACCTTGGCAAACAGTGTAACCTCTCTGAGCCCCTTCTGTAGATGAGGGGGTCCACAAAGAGCCTGCCTTAGAGGATTGCTGTGCGGTGAGGAGAGGACAGCACTTGCAGCCCAGGGCCAACTCCCGCACACACTGCACCATCCCCATGTGACGGCCTGCGCATTGCTGACCGCAGTTTTGGTGACTCACAGCACGACCTTTGTGAGTCTTGGGGAGGAGCCTGCGAGCTGAGCTCAGGCTACTCCGTGTCACTGCTATGGACACTGACCTCGACACTGACCCTGACTACATCTCATGAAGTGTGTCCTCAGCCCTCTGCAGGTTGTAAAGAAGGCACATGGGAGCAGACATTTCCGGCCAGTGTGCTGTACTTCCTGGGCCTTGTGCACCGCACCTACCCCCAGGACCCGGCCTGGAGGGCCCCTGACTTCCTGCAGACCCTGGCCACAGTCACCTTCCCCGTGGGAGCCCAAAAGGTAGGACAAGCCACCACCCACCCACCCACCCCAGGGAGGGATTTGAGGACTTCCTCATCTTTCTCCAGTGTAGGGCTAACTTCTCTCCACCTCCAAAAATTGGGACCCATTTAAAGCAGTGGGACTGGAGTGTTAATAAACAGCTTGAGTAATTTACTTTTTTTTGGTTGAGATACAGTCAAGGTCATTTTCAGCTCCAAGATGCAATGGTTGTTTTGAGTTGTCAGGAACCTCAGTAATGAGCAATGCGATGGTAGAGCAGGTCCAGTTCTATGTGAATGCCTGGTCTGCTAATGAAGATGTTGGTGACTCTTGTTTGGAACACAGCTTGGACTTCTGACAGCCAGGGTGCTGTGAAGACCCAGCTTGGAGGCAGGCAAGCCAGGAGTAGGGGAACAGAAGGACTCCCATGAGATGGAGGACAAAGTCTTGGGTCTCCTGCCTAACCTTTCCCAGGGTTACATCCACGGTGACAGCATTTGTCTCTGGAGCCCTAAGACACACCAGTCCTGAGCCTTGAGCTTTACATCACTGTACAGCAGCCCTCCACACAGGTGGTGTCAGGAAGTGGAAACCGAAGCTTAGAGACAAAGTGGTGCTCAGAGTCCTTGGGCATCAGAGAGGGTGGTGGGATGCACGTCACGGAACTGTTGAGGGAATGTGATGTGCTGCTCATCTTGGGACTAATAAATGACACAGCAGAGACCTAAACTCCACTCTCTCCCCTCAAAACCTCCTCCCCCCCGCCTGGCTAGGGTCTGCAGGAAGTCAGGGCCCTTCCCATCATGGCTGGTTTAAAATAAAATTTAATCACCAAATAAAGTGTAAAGAGTGCAGTCAACTCTCTGTAACCTTGGGATCTTCATCTGGGGTTTAAGCAGCCCTGGAGAGAAAGTAGTTTTAAGAAAGCTTTATCTGTGCTGAAGGTGTACAGACTTCTTTCTTTGTGATTCTTCCCAAAATAACATAGTATAACAGCTATTTCCATAGCACTCATATCACAGTAGGCATTGTAAGTCATCTAGAGATAAATTATTCAGGAGGATGTGTTTAGGTTATATGCAAACATTATACCATCTTATATAAGGGACCCAAACACCTTCGGAATTTGGTATCCTTAGGGAGTCTTGGAACCAACCCCCATGGGGACTAGGGATGAATATAATCAGTTTCAATGAGAAGGAGTAGAAGACACATAAAAAAAGAAAACTGGTTGCAAAATGGTTTGATGGATTAATATCAACTCCAGTAACTTACTGGAGAATCAAGAATAAAAAACGGCTGTAAAATGTATGAAAGGGGTGCAGTGTGGGGAGGTGGGGTTCACACTTGCAGGCCAGGCTAAGAAGAGGGGCCATCCCTTGGATTGCCCTTGCTACCCCTCAGCAGGCCCTCTATAGGGCCAGGGCCCTGAGTCTAAGGCCTGACATTGAAATCCTGAGGCCTACCTCAGCCCCTACCCTATAGGGCCAGGCTTGGCATTGCTGAGCCAGCCCAGGCTCCTCCTCCCACAGTATGCAGGAGCTGCTTGGGGGAGGAGGGCCCAGCCCAAAGACCCCTTGTACAGTCAGGCAGTACCCTGTGGGCCAGCTGGGTCCACCTTGGGGCTCCTGGCTCCAATTCCAAGGCCCCCTCCATACCCTCCATGCCTGATCCCAGCTCTGAGCCAGATCTGCCAGGCTGTGCTTCTCGGGGACATGGCGGACCCTGCTCCCACAGATGGCTGTCGGCCCAAGGCTTTGGTTTGCTGTGGATTATTTATATGGCATCTTTCCAGTTGAGGCTGCACAGAGCTAATTAATGCAGTCACCACCTCCCTAGGTGCCATTAAATTCATTTTATGGCTTAATTAAGAATGGCTGCATTAATTTTATGAATGAGCAAAGGGAGGTGCCAACAGATGAAAGCACAGGAGAAGTTGGTGGGCGGGAGTTGGGCTGTGGCCAGTGTCCTTGGATGTGTCACCCACCTCTGGCACCTGCATGTCCTCTAGGAGGGGGTGCCTGGCTAATGACTCCTGTCTCACTATCTCCTGGCGACTTTCTAAACCTCAAATAAGAAACTGAGTGCAAAGGTCTGGGGGCTCCTCTCTGAAGGAGCTCTGCTGTTCGGTTCTTTTTCCCTCCCAACCGTCTGTCACGTGGGCAAGGTGTAAAGGTGGGACACCCCTGTGAGGCAGGAGCAGGGATCACTGCATCCCCTCTCCCCTCCTTCCTTCTCCCAAGCCCTGGTGACATCCTCTTTGTGACTGCCGTAGCTGATGGTAGATGGCTTGGAGCAGTGATGAGCCATGGCTCTACACACTCTGGACTCAGCTCCTTCACATAGCCCCAGCCATCTCAGGTACCCAGGTCACAGCAGCCACCTTACCAGCAGCCAGGCAGGTGCCACACTGATCTATGGGACAGTGGCAACCCTGCCTGTGCTGGGCAGAGGCAGGTGTGCCAGGGCTCTGAGCCAGGCCAGGCTGCTCGTCTTATGGTTCCCTTGTCATCCAGGACCCTGTGGCTGAGTCCACCGGGAGTACCAGTCCTGGGCCTGCAGCTGGAGGGGACAGCACTATGGGGGGTCTCCAGGCTGCTGTCACCTTCCACCCTGGCCGAAGGCAGCTGAGGGAGTTTACACAGGGCCTGCTGAGGGAGCTGCTGCTCAGAGCCTCCAGTCCCAAGCAGTGGCAGCCGCTGGACATGCTCCTGGAGGTGGGTAGGGAAAGGCATGGTCACCATGGGTTGTTTGGAGGCATGGGGGTGGGGGGCCCAGGCAGGGTCTGCAGAGGCTGAGCTTGAGGCAAGGGTTTTGCAGAGGGATTTATGGGATAGTGCTCTCAGGAGAAGGAGAGAGGGAAGCCAGTCCCAAGGACAGTCAACTGGAGCCTTGTCCTGAGGGGCACTGGGTGACCTTCCCAGAGGTCACCTTCGGGCATCCATCAGCTGGGTGGCCATCGCTGGGGGCTTCCCATAGCCCTGAGCACCTGGGGCAGTAGAGGGCAGCAGTCTTGAGCAGGAGCAGGCATTGGCGTCCCTCCAGGCTTGGGCACACCCAGAGGCACAGGGGCCCTGTGCTGTTGTCTCAGCCCCGGCTGTGTTTCTAGGCCTCTCTGGAAAATGCCAGCAGCCAGCAGAAGCGAGACTTCCAGTCTGAGGTCCTGCTGTCCACCATGGAAATCTTCCACACCTCAAGCACAGGCAGCACCCTGCTTCTCCAAGGTGAGGGCAGCTTGGTCCTCCTGGCCCTGGCATGGAGTTACAGATGCCAGCAGTGTGACCCTGTGCAACACACAGTGACCATGGCAGGGGAGCTGCCACTGCCCCACAGCTGAGGCTACGTTAGGGGAATTCAGTGCCAGGGCAGAGTGGACAGAGCCCTTCCATGTCCCCTGACTTTTCCACCTGTTTCTGGGCCCTCTGCACCCTGGCTCCTCCTCCTGGATGCCCTGCCTGCAGGAGTGTGGGCAGGTGGCAGCTCAGTTCCTGTCCTGGCTCTGTCACCTGCAGCAGGGTGACCAGACAAGGACTGGAGCTGTGAGTGGTGACACCAAGGAGGCTGAGTCAGTGTGGTTCTGGGGCTGAGCTGAGATCCTTGGCACAGTATTGCATGTTGGTGAGCTGGCGGGCCACCCACTTTACAGCTTTACCCTCTTCCCTGTGTGACAGCAGGCTTAGTCACCACTGTGTCTTCTTGTTTGCCTCAGGCATTAAATGCACCCATTCTTGTTCCAAACTCGCCAGCGGAGCCTCCCTTGCTTGAGTTTCAGTACTCAGTTCTGTTCACTGACCAGATCACTTGCTGTGGGTTTGCTCTGCGACCAGACTGTTCAGTGGGCGCTAGGACCCCGTCTTGGAGCGATGGAGGATAGGGTGGGAGGACATGGCTGGTAGTCACGAGGGGTTGGAGGTCATCCCAGTGGTGTCACACTCCCTCTTGGTGTCCCCCCCCCCCATCCAGGCAGTAGCGAGCCTCAGCACAGCATGGATGCTGCACCCTCCCTCTGGAACATCTCCCACTTCGCTCAGCGGCTCGTGGAGAAGCTATACGGTGGCGTGTTCTCGGCAGACCCCAAGCACATCCTGCTCTTCCTCATGGAGCACATCATGGTGGTAAGTGATGCATGACAAAGCTCCTGGGAAGCATCAGGAATCTGCAGACAGCTGTGCCCTTGGGCTCTGTACACTATGTCTGCTGCCCTGTGCAAAATCAGCCTGAGATGGGCTGAGAGGAGGGAAGTGCTGAGGGATGGGTGCTGCCTGGCAGCCACCCAGTGCCCTGCGAAGTGCCTGAGTACCACAGCACCCTGCACAAGGCCTTGACCCTGTGACCCCTGGTCCCTCAGCACCCTGTCTGTGCTCTTGGCCTCTGCGTCCTTCTGTACCCTACTTCCTCCTTTTTGAGATTTTACCAATTGTGGTTTAACCTGTTATATTGTCTATCCTTTCCCACACAAGGCCAAAAAAACTCTTGTCTTCAAAAACCCATTTTTTTTCTTCCTAATTTCCCCTCTGCTTGTGGTCTTTGTGCCTTCTTGGAGGTAGGACTCTGTTCAGCCTGGTCCCATTGCCTCTCCTGTACCCTCTCTTTGCATGTAAATGCATCCATCTCTTTGCCCATGCAGGATTTCACATGCCTCTAGAGCCATCTCTCAGGGCAGGTGTGTGCACGTGTGTGTGTGTGTGAACGTGCATGCACACAGAGAATTGTGCAGCCTGAAGTTCTGGAATTGAGAAGGGGTGTTTTTACACACTTGCCTCCCTGGCTGCTGGAGGCTCTCCTGAAGAGATCCTGTGTCCTTGTTCATGGACCTTCCCCCCTGGGTGGGCCTGCCCCCTGTGAGGACCCTTCCCCTGAGAGGACTGTCCCCCCATCTGGACCCTCCCTGTGACTAAGGCCTCACCATGCTATACATTGCCCAGCTCCACAATCTGGGACATCTGGGACATTGGAGAGGCCTTTCTCTCACCACTCTGAGTCTGCCACCTGAAGATGGGAACCCAGCCTCAGTGAACTTCCTAGGGTGATGGTCAGATCCCAGAAGCCTGGAAAGAATGGTCCCTTCACGAATGACTCCAGCAGGGAGAAACAGTCCTTGTCAGCTTGGAGAGGGTTAAAATCAGACTCTTGGGAAGTTGTGTTGAGAAGGAACATAGCTGTGGTGATCAAAGCAAGTCTTCGGCACTAACCCAAAGAGTGGCAGCTACAGGGCCAGGATGCCTCAGGTTGCAGGCCCCAGGCCCATGCTGTCCTCATGCCCAGCCTCCTCATCTTCTGCTCATTACCTGGGTGCCCGCAGCCCTTAACTGTGGTCTGAGAGGTGCAGTCATTGGAGCAGCAGGAGAGGATGGTGACAAAGACATGAAACCCAATCTCAGCAGGGAAACTGAGCCTGATTTCCTGGAACAGAGGACCTGCACTGCGCATGGAGTCTAAGGGCATCTGTGACTAACAAGTGGCTCTTCTGACCCACGATGATGCTTTGCCAGTGTCATGCTCTGTCAAGTCCTTTCCCTGTGCCCAGCACACATATGTACCTGTCCTTGTTGAGGCTACAAACTGGCCCTTCTGCCTCCCTCCTGCATTTCTCATGAGCTAAACCCAGTTGATTCCTGCCTCCTTCAGGTGATATGGCGTGGCAAGCATGGTTCCAGTGTCCAGAGTGGTTTGATTCTTGCTGACCCCTGACCTCTGATCTTCAGCTACTAAAGGCTAACGTGGGGTTATGACATTTAAACAAAGAAGCATATTTAAATTGATGCAAATCAATATCAACAATGCTTATCATAATACCAGAAATATTTTACATGATAATAATTACTAATAAATGACATGAATCTATTTGAAGAAATCAGCTGCTACTCATTGCATGTTCTCATACACTGAATGTCAGCCATGTTATCAATATTTCAGAAATCTCTGGTCACTGAATGTATTTTCCATAATATAACCTTAGTGAACTTCAACTTTTTTTAACACAAGTTTTTACCCAAATTCTGAATTTCCTTAAATGAGCATTCCCTTAGGTAGAACCTCAAAGGTAGAGGAACCAAATGCTATTTGAATTTCACCTCCCATCACTTTTTGATTGTATGGTGTTTGTGGTAAACTGGGTCTGTATAGAGCACTGCCACGTGCTCACAGGTGTGTGTGTGTGTCTGTGTGTGTGTGTGTGTCTGTGTGACTTGTTTTTAACCACACAGGTCATCGAGAACCCCTCTTCTCAAAGGGACACTGTCCTCAGCACCTTGTACAGCAGTCTGAACAAAGTCATTCTTTACTGCCTCTCCAAGCCCCAGCAGTCCCTGTCCGAATGCCTCAACCTGCTCAGCATCCTGGGCTTTCTGCAGGCACATTGGGACATTGTGTTTGCCACCTACAACTCCAATGTCAGCTTCCTCCTGTGTCTCATGCATTGTCTTCTACTGCTCCATGCAAGAAGGTAAGAGCCTGCTTGTTTCCTGCCTGCCAGGGTTCCATGCAGAAAGTGAAGGGTTAGAAGGATCTTTGGTTGGGTTAATATAAATGAGAGAAGTCTTTGGTCACCAGGTCGCCACACAATGTGCCATGTTTGATAACAAGCAGTGTCACCCCCAAACCTGTCCATGTGACTGAGCAGGTAGATTGCCAGGAAAGAATACTTTACTGTTTCCATAGTTCTAACTTGTGAGATACTTCATTGATTTAAGTTTTGAGGCAGAAAATGCCGGACATTAAATGAACCCACTGGTTTTTGGATACAATCAGATTTCAGAAACATTAACATTTGATAAATGCAATCTTAGGGTGGTGGAAAAATTATGTAATACATTGTATCGTGCAAGCCAGGAACAATTCTCTTCACAGAAAACAATATGCACCGAACAGGTGATATACAGTGATGTCTGTAAACTTGCTTGCCGAAAAAACATTAATAAAAAGCTATTTAAATGACCATTTTCTGGAAGGCCCATGTGTGCACATATGTGAGACTTCTCTCTGTACATTCACTTTGTCCCTGCTCTGAGGGGCTGAGTATCCTTACTCAAACTGTTGTTACCAGTGTTTCCAATTTTGGATTTCCTTTACACTTTGGGACCTTTGCATATCCATAACGAAACATGCTGGGGACAGACCCAAGACTAAGAGCAGAATGCATTTATGTCCTCTGCACCTTGCCCACATGGCCTGGAGGTGATTTCATGCAGAATTTTTTAGTGCAGCTGGGGAATTTCCCTCGTGTGGCAGTTCAACTTTCAGAACCTGGAGCAATTTGTATTTTCAGACTGGGGATGCTCAGCCCGTGCCACAGGGTTCAGCTGAGCACTGTGCTGCTTAGGGTTATTGGTTCCTGTTAGGAGAGCCAGGCTGAGAGTAGTGGGGAGAGGGCTGTGGGGGTTACACTCTGCCCTTGGCCTTTTTCTCTTTTCCTTCTTTCCTTTCTTCCCTTCCTTCCCTCATCCCTTTCTTTCTCCTCCCTTCCCTCCTCTTTTCTTCTCTTTTATTTTTTTGGTACCAGAGATTGAACCCAGGACCTTCACATTGAGCTACATTTCTAGGCCCTTTTAATTTTTTTATTTTTTTGAGACAGAATCTTGCTAAGTTGTCTAGGATATCTGAATTGGCAATCCTCCTGCCTCAGCCTCTGGAGTAGCTCTTCTTATTTTTTCCTGATGATATTTATCCCAGTAATAATCATAAATTTTATCACATGGAAAAAGCAAATCCTTAATCTTGTAGCTGTGACTGTTGAACATTACAGAGCATGAGAGCTGACGAATCTTAAACTCTCTGGGGAGACCTCCCAGCAGGGACGGGGGACTTGACCTTTAATTGACCTGAAAGAAAAGATCCCATTTCAGTGTGTGTTTAAATTTGGGGGTTTTTCCTTTCTTTTCTGTATTTCACATTGAAAGCATCGATGAAAAGAGAAGGCCAAGTGGATTATGCGCTTCAAATCACTAAACCCCTCTGTGCAGGAAAATGGCTCTAACCTCCACAGATGACCTGGTCTACAACCTCCTGTGCTGGCCTTTTCCATCGTAGGTTCAGGCTGTGAGCCTTGGAGAGTGTCTGTCTGTTCAGGAGGCTGAGCCAGCCCCTGAGGGAGGGCACCCAGGCATGCACATGTTTGGACCCCCAAGCTCATGGCTCCTGGGGAGCCTAGTGCATAAGCCACCATGTCTCCACCTAGAGCCGGCTCCAGCATGTGGGCAACTCTGACAAAACTACAATGTGGGTGGTTTAAAAATGTTTCCAAGGGCCGGGGATTTAGCTCAGTGTTTCCGCTGCCTGCCTCAAAAGTTCAAGGTCTGGAGTTCGATCCCTGGTACCAAAAAAAATATTTCTGAGACTTTCAAAATGGTGACAGCAGAGGCCAAGCAGGGGCCCTTCTAAGTGTAGGGCTTGTGCACTTGTCCAGGTTGCACACCAGGAAGCCAGCCCTGGCCCCAGGGAAGGAGTGATGAGGTGAGTTCCAAACAAGAGAGAGTTCAATACTTTGGGAATTCCCAGCAGAATTGACCTTAGTCCTGATAACAAGGAACCAGGAGATGGCTCGGGGACTGCTTCGAGCATGGCTAGGATTTCTGTGCACAGGACTTCCTGTAAAGACAAGGTGTTTTTCCTGCCGTCCAGAAAACCGCACAGCTCAACAGCCTCTGTGGAAGCTGTTACAAGGGGTCTGCTTTACACTGTAGATGTGATGTGTGTTTCCATCCTGCTGTGTACTGAGTTTGAAGGACAGATGCTTGTGATAAGCAATCATACATAGAAGGATCCCAAAGAAACTTGAGTTGATGGTGAAAACCTTTTTGTCTCCAGTTACCCAGAAGGTTTTGGATTGGAGCCCAAGCCTCGAATGACTCCTTATCACCAGGTCTTCCTCTCCCCCAATGAAGAAGGGAAGGAGAAAAGAGACGACGAGGACATCCCGAGCCTGAACGATGGTACATTGTACTTGCTGCTTGTTTCCTTGTGTGGGGCAGTGGGTGGGTCCTGGTACCTGCCAGGCGGCAGTCTTCGGTTCCTCTCTCCCAAGGTAAGAAGGAAATACTGTTGAGGAAATTTTGAAAGGCTAGAAGAAGAGCTAGGAAGTCCCAGAGTGATGCAGCAGCACAAGTCACCTGGTGGAAAATAACTGGAATAATCTTTGTATGTTAGAAATGGAGTGGGAAGGGATGTGTGGATGGATGGAGAGAAGGTTCTGTGAGACCTTAGTGTAGAACATTGATGGCAAGCCCTTTAGAGCTTTCAGTGATACAAACAGCCTGCTGTGGCACACGTGCCATAGGTTTGCCACCACTGGCCTACTCATTGAAACCCTGGGCACCTCGCTGTGAGTTGAAACTGGCATGCCACCTCACCTAGTTCAAGTCTGTACCTACTTACCACTCGGCTTCAGTCCCTAGAGAATGGGAAGGGAGTAAATAAACTCATTATTTTCTGTAAGACTTTGTGCTTTATGGAGTTTATTCTTGGATTTTCAATCTCAGATCAACTTAAAGGTATTAGAAGTCTACATATAACATAAATGTTATGTTTAGATATATAGCAGTCAGTTGAATATGTCCGAGATACCTCTCATTCTGCCTGTCAGTCTCTTCCTCCCTCCCTCTCTCCAGAAAGTGGGGCTGCAGTAGACCTTTCTCTGCCACTTTGGTTTTGCAGGGTCTGTCACTGACCTGGTGATGTACGTTCTGATACAAGATTGTAGGCCAGCTGGCTTTGTGCTCTGGTCAGATAGGTTAGGTGCCCAAAGCCAATGCTCAAAAACCAGTGACTTCAAAGTTTATCCTGACACAATGTCCATTTGAGCATAAATGTACACACTTTGGGTTGTGACTCTCTAGGGTAAGAAAAATAGCATAGAAGGCTAGCCCCAGGGAGGGACCTGGAGGGCCAAGGCCAGAAGAAGTTTGGACACAGTTCAGGGGGCTACAGATACGGGCCAAGCAGGCAGAGTTGGCTTGATAGTTGGGTCCAGGTCTGAGGAAATCCAGGGCATGAGATGGGTAGGTGCTGGGGAGAAGATGTGGTGCTGGACAGAGGACAGTTTTGGTTTGGCGTCTTCCCCAGGCCGGCCAACATGTACGAGGAGCTTGGAGGAGCTGTGTAGGGCATCTACGGGGCAGCAGGATCCAGCAGGGATCCAGCAGGGAGGTGGGGAAAGAGCGTCCCTAGTCCCACCAGTCACGTTTTCCTGACCTGGATATGGGAGGTGGGCAGGACTTGGTGGGAGGCAGTTGGAAGTGGGACTGGCTGGCTTGCTTGTGTGTTGGAAGTATTGGATCAGTGCTGAGGTCTACATAGCAGCAGCTGCAGCTTGAGGCTTACAGGAGAGGCATTTGGGTAAAAGCAGCCAGGGTTGCCAGCTCCTAGCTCTCTGGGCAGAGAACTGAGGTCCTCCTGATTGTGCCCTGTGTTCTCTCGCCAGCCCAGCACAGCATTGAGAAGACCGTGCAGGCTCTGTGGAAGCAGCTTGTGGCGCAGAGGAGGCAGGCGCTGGAGGATGCCTTTAAGATTGACCTCTCTGTGAAACCTGGAGAGAGTGAAGTGAAGATCGAAGAGGTCACCCCGCTCTGGGAGGAGACGATGCTGAAGGCCTGGCAGCATTACTTAGGTGTTGCCTATTTATTTATTCTTTACAGTACTGGGGAGTGAACCAGGGCCACTGCACTGAGCTACATCCCCAGCCCTTTTTGTTTATTTTTTATTTTGAGACACACTCTCGCTAAGTTGGTCAGTTCTCCAGACTGGGCTGGAATTTGTGATCCTCCTCCCGCCTCAGCCTTCCAGAGTGCTGGGATTACAGGAGTGCACCACCATGCCTAGCTTCTAGGTGCTTCTAACATATGATCTATGTCATCTTCACGACACCCCAGTGGGTTCAGATACTATGATCCCCACTTTACAGAATGAGAAAATTACGGCCTGGCCACTTTAGCTAAGTTGGCAACATCTCACTACACATTCAGAAGCCACAGTACTAGGAGCATAAGCCTGGTCTGAAGACCTCCAAGCCCACACAATGTTTCTCAGCCAGGCAAGCTTGAAGATGCAGTGTGGAGCAGGAGCAGGCGCTGTCTGTGTCCTTCTTCCAACTTCTGGTCTGTCGTTCGTTCTTTGCTCCCCTGTCCCCAGCGTCCGAGAGGAAGTCACTGGCCAGCCACTCCAGCATCCTGCCACACAGCAAAGTCTCGTCTTGGAGTGGGAGCCTGTCCACGGTCATTCGATTGACGCCTGGGCGCCAGGCCAAGGAGCCGGAATGCAGGGCTGAGGTGAGCCCAGAACCCCATCCCCAGGGAGGCCCTGGAGTCACAGCTCCTTTCTGTCATCACGTGTGACCAGGGCAGGTGTGGCAGGTGTGCAGGTGGCTTCTCAGAAGTCCCGTGCAGGGCCGGGGTGTCAGGCTGGCGTGACAGAGCGATGTGGAAGTAACGCACTGTTTGTGTATTTGTTTATTATTTAATTTACAAAGGTGTTTTCAGTGCTGTTTATAATAGTGAAAAAATTGGAAAAAACTTAAAAGTAAGAGGAATAATTAGGCAAACTATAATACGTGTATAAAATAGCTCATTTATAGTATAGTTTCATTTTATGCATAAATGAGATTTTTATTTGTGTATGTTTGCGACACATAATGGTTGCATTGGTTTGGGGGGAATTGCTACATGTAGATGTCATATTTTGATCATTTAGTATTTTTTTCTCTCTTTCCCTTTATCCCTGACCTCAACCCCATCTCTACAAAGTCTGTCCTTTTGTCTCCTATGTCAAATCTAAAGTGTAAATAAGCTAAAAGGAGAGATGGCAGGTCCCAGTCCTTGGGAGTTCTGTGCAGTCAGGTGGCCCTGGGCATATGAGCCCAGCAAAGGGCTTCCACCCTGCCTGTCCACTCTGTCCTTCTGGCAGACACCGTGGAAGGTCCTTGGGACAGTACGGGGCAGAGGCCAAGGGTGTTCCAAAGCTATGTGGAAAACCATCTGGAAACTCAGCGGCACCAGCAACGGCTTTTTGGGATGGTGGTTGCCATTGGAAGAGTTTGGAGCACAGTGAGAGTGTGTGTGTGTGTGTGGGGTCTCACTCCACAGTGACTTACATACCTGGTGGCTGCCGCTGGCTGTTGTCTGAGACTCTGGCTGGGGTGTTGGTGGGATCGTCCACACAGCCTCCCCATGTGAATGGGGCTTCCTTTCATCCCTGTGGCAGGTTCTCCAGGGCCAGGCAGGAAAGAGGGGGACAGAGACTGAGAGAGAGAGCACACCAAGCAGAAGCCACTTTGCCTTCAACGACCCGGAAGGCATGGAGACAGCCAGCGCCACCTCCTGGTGGGGGAGTGGCAGGTTCTCTGAGAACTTGTGGGCCTGGAGATCCCATTGAGGTGGTTGTGTTTGGAAAACACAGTCTGTCCTGTATCCTAATGCTGGGTCATGGACTTATTTCAGAGGTGGATTGTGGTTGGTCCAAGACATGCCCTGAGAGTTGAGAAAACCTGGGCAAATTCCTTTGCTCTCCTGAGTCTTTATCTCACCTCCACGATGGGACAAATTGCCCTGGAAATGGGGAAGTGGAGCTGGCAGCCAGCACTCCTTGTTGATTTCCTGATAATACTGGGGAACAGGAGGACCTCAGTTACCCTTCTGAAGCTCTGTCCATTGTGGCCTCAGGTGTCCAGAGGTTGGGGATAAGAGGGAGTACAGGCTGCCTGTACAAAGCTGGAGGAAGCCTGGCATCCAGGCACAGGGAGCTGGAAGGCTGGTCCAGATCAGGCTGCCAGGGTGTGGCCACTGGGGCTGGGAGTGGGGGACCCGCCTCCCTCCTGGCTGGACACTGAAGCCCATGGCTGTTTGAAGACACTCTCCTCATTCATTTCATCCAACAGATATTTATTAAGTGCCGAATCCACACCTTGCCCTAAGCACCAAGGTTACAGTCAAGAACAAAACTTATTTATTTATTTTTAGTTCTGGGGATGGCAGCCAGGGCCTTCGCACTCTGAGCTACATCTCCAGCAGCCCCCCCACCCCACCCCCGCCATGGCTTATTTTGAGATAGGGTCTCACTGAGTTGCCCAAGCTTGGTGGCTCCAACTCTCCTTTTATAGAATTGATTTGTAGGGAGTGATGAGGATGATATGTAGGTAAATACCTTTGTGTCAGGGTGCTGCTTGCAGTGAGGAACAATCCTGCAGCCAAGGAGGCAGGTTGGGGAGGAGCTGGGTGCTGAGATGCGGATTGGCAAGGCTGTACCTGTCAAGGCATCCCTGGCACCAAGAAGAGAAATGAGGAAGGACAGGGGCCTATGATGGTTGGAGAAGGACAGGCCAGGCAGAGAAGATATCACACAATGGCACCGAAGCAGGCACAGGCAAGGTGTCCGGACCACCACAGGGAACACAGGAGCCAGGACCACACTTGCTTCCCAACAGCCAGGTGGAAACCCCCTTCTGCTTTTAGCACTGGGTCAATCTGCTCTCAGCACCCCAGTGGCAGAGGTTGTGCAGCTGACTCTGACTTTTTCTTTGCTGTGGACCCACAGGGGCTCAGAGAGCTTAGTATGGTCAGCAATTATAACTGCATAAGCCTCGGGGACAGTGGTTGTGAACACACACGTGTGATCGTAGTGTACACACACAGCCTTCACCCTGGCCTCTTCCTCCCCCTTGACTCCCATTCGCCCTTCATCCTGATTTGTTTATCTTTCTCACAGCCTAAAGTACCGTAGGCATTGTAGGCATAGCAGCACATGCCTGTAATCCCAGCACTCTGGGAGCTTGAGGCAGGAGGATGGAAAGATCCAGCCCAACCTGGGCAACATAGGGACTCAGCAAGGCCCTGTCTCAAATTAAAAATTAAAAAAAGGTTAGGGATACTGCTCAGTGTGAAGCTCCTTGGTTAAATCCCCAGTTCCAAACAAACAAAACCCTCCCAACTTTATGCATTTTAAAGACATTTTAGTAGGCAAACATTGCACTTGGGCTCAGTAGCATCCTAGATGGATGCATCGTTTTGCTTAGCAGCATCCTAGATGGGTAACTCCTCAGCCTGGGTGGAGACTGCCCCTGTGCAGAGCAGGCTGGGAGAGATGGGAGCCAGAAGGGTCCACACGGAGGGCAGGCTGGAGCCCCTTCTCCTACAGAGAGGAACTCTGCAGGCACAGACCCCACACCAGCACTTTCTCTATGAGCCGCTGCCAGCAGGCACACGTTCTCTGGTCCATGTGTGCACCGTGATGTCATAGAAAGAGAGCGTTGACTATTTGCCCTGGGGTCTGTTTAATTATTTTTAAAAATTAATTTTGATTATTACAGCTGATTACACCTCAGTGAGCAGTGTAATTGATATTTTCTAATGCATCCCCAGGAACATTTTGTACAACACGCTTTTTGTTGTTGAAGGTTAAAGACTCCGTTATTGGTTTTTCCCTAAATATGCCCACATCATTAGTCCTCCAGCGAGGAGGTCGCCATCTGGAAAGAGCAGCACGGAGACATTACTCAGGCACAAGTGCATGAAATTGGTGTTTTTGCATCTTCTGTCTCTCTTCTGGAAGGAAGAGGCTCGTAATTAAAGGAGTTGGTGTTGGTGGAAGCATTATTCATGTGGTGTTATTCCTTATCATGTCAGCACTGACAGCTCCACTGCCCTGACAAATTGTTCCTGGAAGCGAGGCAGATGATGGTGGGCCCATCGTTCCTCTTCCCACCCTCATTTGGGCTAGAAACATTTCCTTCTTGGCCAGTGAGCCACATTTGGAGGTGAGGCTGACTTGATGGATGTTATTTCCTTTGAATAGATGTCCTTTCTTCTCTTTTCTCCTTGGGCCTGGTCCTGGGCGCTTCTGAGATCAAACTGTGAGGTCATTGTCTCTAGCTTGGTACAGGCCGTGGCTGTTAGCCTTCTAGACAGAGCCTGGGGATTGGGCTCCTTTGAGGTCACCAAAAGCCAACTTAGAGCTTTCTAGAAGCTGTTTGGTCACGTCCACCCTTTGCCAGGAGGGACCCAGGGTGCACACTCAGGCTGGGGGTCCCTCCCTCTTCCCAGCAGGGTGGGTGGTGAAATTTCAGACGTCCTACTGAAAAGCCAGCTGAAAAGACATCAGCAACCATCCTGGCATCTTAGTTTTCATGGATTCAACAGCAGTGTAGGAGGTTAATTTGCATTGTGGGAATCCTGGGGCGGGGTAGCCAGAAACCCTGAGGACTATTTTTATAACTCTCCTGCAGATCTACAATTATTCTAAAGTATAAGAAATACTATCATTTGCTGACATGGTAACAAGAAAAGCATTTGCAAACAGGAAATGGATGCTGAGGCTGGGGGAAGGGCCTATGGGCAGAGGCTGGGTCTGGGCACCATGGGCTATGCTAGGTGTGCCCATCTGTGTGCATGTTTCTGTGCAGCAATTTAGACAGGGTGAGGGACCCACCACAGGAGGCTGGCAGGGCAGCACAGAACATGTGGGAGCCACAGCAGCAGTGATTAGAGAAGTGAACATCAAAGAACATGCAAGAAGATTCTGCCACACCAGGCTGGGATGAGCAAAGAGAGGAGGTCAGGGAGGTGGAGGGCCTGGCTTGGAGAGGAGAGGGTGTGGGGTGGGGGTGTGTGTGGCCAGAAAGGCTCCGTGGATCTCTGCAGAGGATGAGGAGGAAGAGGTGCTGAGGAAGTAGGGTGAGAGTGTGGGGCCAAGTCTGGCCCATAAAGGGGTGAGGACACCTCTAGGCAGATGCATCCTACCAGGGTCTTGCTGGGTACAGTGTGAGTGGGGTGGGGCAGGACGTCTCCCCTTCTGTCCTGGGTCCTGTATGGGGGACAAGGCAGCCACACCAGCCCCATCCATGCTTGGGTGCTTACAGAGGAGCAGGTCACCCTGTTGAGGGTCGCCCTTGCCTAGCACATTTCCAGGGTTCTCAGAAGACAGCCGGGAAAGCTTCTAGTTGCTCTTTTCAGTGGCAATTGTCAGACAGTGGAAATGACCCCAGAGTGAGGTTGGGGCCATATGGCAATTAGTAGACTGGACTGGAAGGCACCAAAAGCTGAAAGCTGGTGTGTCCAAGTTGCTAAAACTCTAAAGATGTTTTTTTGGTAATTCTGCCACTGTCCTGGCAAGGACTGCAGAACACTAGACATTTTTCCAAAGCCCCCAGGGGTCCTCTGAGGGTGGCCTCAGGGTCTGAGAGGCAGGGCCATCCATAGCCCATTGCATGCTAGACCCACGACCCCACCGAGCAGAGGACAGGATGCTGACTCGAACCAGCAAATCAGTGACAGCCCTG